AGTTTGTTGTATGTATGTATTTATATAATGTTTTCATTTTCAAAACACGATCAAGATATTGTGTCCATGTTCAGAGTTGATATTATTGAGTGTTAGATTTTTGTTTTTATTAATAACACTTCCATTATTTTTAGCCTATTTTTTTGGTCTTTTTTGCATGTAGATGATACTATTATTTTTGTGTTGTCTCATGGAGACCTAACGGACCCTAATCGTAATATACTTGTTGACAACACAAATGAAAAAAAAATATAAATCAAAGCACCTTGTCTATTGCATTCAATGAAATGTGCATACACACACACACACACACACACACACACACATGTATATATATATATATATGTACCCTGGATAGAGTTAACTGGAGATATTTGTGTCAGAGTGATATCAGAAATTTCGAAATGAGTCGTATTGACCGGCTAAGAGACGAAAATCAACGGTAAAAAGCGTCAGCAAATATTTCTGTTGCGATGTCCCGAGATCCTCGCTGTTACACAATATGTGGACATGTACGCAAGTCAGTAACGGGACAGTGTGACATACGACACAAACATAAAAACTTAAATGAGGTTGTCGGATTCTCATACGTGGAAATCGACGGGAGAGTCCATCATCATCAATCATCATCTGTATATATATATATATATATATATATATATATATATATAGTTGGTTGGGAGCGAAATTATTTATTGTGATTTTAAATTTACAAACCGGTAGAACTTCCCTTCCAAGCAAACTTATATATATATATATATATATATATATATATATATATATATGTGTGTGTGTATGTATGTGTGTGTATATATATATATATATATATATATATATATATATATATATATATATATATATATATATATATATATATTTAATTATTTATATATCACATGCGGCACTTATTAGAAAGCGCTCCATATCAGAGATAGAGCTTAACATATTTGGTTGGATTGATGTAAGTTTGAAAAAGCGTGAAACCCAGGGTCACAACTCACATCAATCCAACCAAATATATCTGTATATATATGCTAACCGATTATTTTTTATATATATATATATATATATATATATATATATATATATATGCTGACCGATTAATTTCTTTTTTATTTTATTGCTTAAATGTTATTTTTTAGTAGATATCCATATTTGAGTCGATGCTCTGTTTCATTATAAGAAAAATATGCGCCCTACGACGGGATACGAACCAGCATTTTCCTAGGAATAGCCGTCATTAGATCTGACGTGTTTTAACCTCTCGGCTACATAGAGCCTAATAGGCAAGCAAAGCCTAAATAATGCTTATGAACAGAAAGTTTTCCCAATTCTCGTAGTATACATCTCTGATCAGTTTTTGTATCCTAACGGAAACAAAAACATTTATTGTAATTCCCCATGTATAATACGCATTTTTTGAAAAAAATAATAAGCAAAATCGGAGGTGCGTATTATGCACAGCTACGAAAAAACTTTAAAAAATTGCCCTAAAATAAAACAAGAATTATCAAAAAACTAAATTAGAATAATATTATTCTATATTTAAAACCATAAGAGTAGGAAATGCTAGCCGCAATGAAATTGGAGAGGTACAATTTAGATGGTTTGATTACCAAACAAGGGATGCGTATTATGCGTGAGTAAAAGCATTTTCCCACACTTTTTGCACAATTTTAAATGTGCGTATTGTGGATGAAGGCGTATTATACATAGGGAATTATGGAATTAATCCGACATTTTTTTTATGTTACTGCTTAAAAGTTATTTTTTTAGTGAATACTCATATTTGAGTAGGTGCACTGTTTATTAAACAGTATATTTATTTATTTTCATCTACTTTCCACATGTATATTCCGAGAATAATTATAGGATTTCTTTGATTATTGTTCACGGGTGATTGGAAGATGTGTTTATGTAAAGTGGTTTGTCATTGGGTTTTCTATATGGCTGATATGTACCTTTCCTTAGGTTGAGTGCGACGTCTCGGAAATCTACTTTATAAGGTCGATTTGCCTGGATTTCCCTAAGAAAAATTCCAGAGTATGGTGGGTTGATAATTCTGTATAACTTGTGTGTGTGTTGGGGGGGATGTTCCCACCAATTCTCTTTGCGAGAGAGGTTGAATGCGCGGCATATTGACCAACGTATGTATTATACAGTTTCGATAACGTCATTATAAGTATTCTATTGGCGCTAGTCGACCACGCCCAGATATTATGTGGTTAATTATGATTATTATTATTATTATTATTATTATTGAGTGCGGAGAAGCACGCCATTAAATTGACACTGGGGAACAAATATAAGAAATTCAATACATACATCATGACACCAAGCCTGATATGGACATACTAAGCACATGCATTTTGTATAAACTCCTAGTGTTCTAATGATCACTGGTACTGTAATTAATTTCTTTATTAATCCTTCCCAATCTTTCAGTATTTTACGGTTTAATTCATTGTAGTTGTTGATCTTCTTTTCTTTATGTTCAATTCTTATGTCAAATGGACAGAAGACTTCTATCAAGTAGCCAGTCTTTTTTCATTTGTTTGTCCAAAATCTGTTTGGCTAAATCTGGCTGATTTTTGCTCTACGGTTGTCACCGTCTGTCTCGGAATATCCCACGGGATTTTCAGTTTGCTATTCTCCAGAATTTTCTTTTTCTTTCTGATCACATTTTCATAATACTTGCCACTACATTCAAAACCCGTACTTTTTACAAAACTTCCAATGAAAATTATTATTATTATTATTATTATTATTATTATTTCATTTGATTTCTGATGTCTACTCAATTCTTTCTAACGTCAGAAATGGCATCATGATATTTTCCACTGAACAATTAAAAATCATTATTATTATTATTATTGTTGTTGTTGTTGTTACACCATTTCAGATCAATACATTTTTCGACCTTCAAAGTAAACAGTGCGGGATCAAAAATAAGGAATAGCTTCCGAATACACTTACACTCGTACCTAACATCTCGAAATTCTATCATTTATGGACGTCGCCTTAGCCACTTCAGCCACTGAAGTTTCTATGCTTAAGCAGGGTATAATTCTGTAGTCATTCAGTCATCTTCTTCTTTTCAGTTCTTTACGCCATCTTTGTTTCACTACTTAATAAAAAAGAAAATTAAAACTTTCTTATTCAGAATCAAAACTTGGATGAATCAGATGCGACACTGAGGCGATATTAAAATCATTATACAGTTTCTCCATTGGTGTTTACAGGAGGATCCCACTGGGAGTATCACGATATTCAGCTAGCTCAATATTTTATAATGGGTGAAATGACAATATGTAAATTGAAGTGTGAACAGAGAGTAGATTATAATGATTTGATAGACTTATTCGGCTGATCTTCCATTTTGAACCAATGGCTGAAGTAGTTGAAGTACTCTTGTAAAAGAGCAAACTTTCTAGAAAATGATTCTTTTCCCTATTTTCGTTTATTGATTTCCCGAAATAATTTTTTAAAATTTCAAAGAAATAATTATTACTACCACATCTAGTAACCTTAACGATTCGATCCAAAGCATTCTGAATTCTGAAACCTCTTAAACAATCTGCTTTCTTTTCCGAATAATTTTAAACAGATCATTTAACCACAAGAGAATGGATGTGTAAATGTTAGTATCAATGCTCTAAAACATTACTTTTTCTTGGTGTCTGTCCTGTCGACTAAATATCTATGGAGGATGCAGTCAGCATCCTCCATAGATATTTAGACCGTCTTCCCACTAAAGGGACCACCTATAAAATGTATGCTTGCTACCTTGGGTATAAGCGAATTATATTTACCTATAGACTTAAGTATGAATAAACGATACATCTTTGGATATGTATAAAGGACTAACATTTACCTGTAGACTCAAGTATATATCAACGACTAATATTTACCTTCTGATATAGCAATTTTCTAAGCGTGGCTTAGATGTGACACAAGGCCGAAAGTATGGGGTGCCCAGTGAGGATCGAACTCAGTGCTCAGTCGTAATTGTTCTAGCGAGACAAACTTGCTAACCACTGCATCACGTCGAGGTTTCCTATTTAAATTTAGATATGTATATACGAGCAAGATTTACCTGTAGACTCATGTAATAAAAAAATTGATTTTGACATTAAATAACTCAACTCGAATTGACATATCGTAAAATACACCAACCCATTTTTTTTCTGGAATCTGATAAAATAAAAACTTCAACTGAAGACAATGTAAGAGTTCCGATGTGGAAAACGTTTTGCAATAGCAATGCAGGGAGGCCTTGCTAATGTCTCTATGATTTTTCTGCATCAACTACCTAAATAATCCATCAAAATGTGCCAAGTATTAAACCACACTAAATATCAAACCTCGTTAAATATGGAACCTTTTAACATCTTTCCCTTTACTTCAACAATAAATATAGTCTTTGAAATTGTAGTTCGCCTATGGCTACCGCGTAGAAATACAGAACTGACATCAACTGGGTAAGAAGTCTCCAGCAGCTTTCACGCGGATGGATAAAAAAAAAAGATAGGATGGGAAGTGTTGTAACAAAACAGCAAGTATTTGTATATATTTGAAAATGTGCTGCTTAGAGAATAAGGTAGGTGGAGAGAGAAACGACAAGGGGTAATGGTAAGAAGGAGACGTAAAAATCAATAGATAAGATAGAAGCATCTACGTTCCGTTTCTGGTGTTCTTTGTCCTCGGCAGGTGGGAGGTGGAAAACGTGGCAAGTGGGTTGCTTAGGTTGGCAGTCAATTGCAAGGAGAGGAGGAAGATATTAAGAAAGTCACTGAAGAAAGAAAGAAAGAAAGAAAGAAAGAAAGAAAGATTAAACAAGAAATACAGGTGAAGGGAACGATTTAAGAAAGAAAGAAAGAAAGAAAGAAAGAAAGAAAGAAAGAAAGAAGATGAAAGCAATGATTTAAGAAAGAAAGATATAAATAATAAATACATGTGAAGGGAACGATTTAAGAAAGAAAGAAGATGAAGTGAAGGACTTAAGAAGGAACGAACGAAAGAAAGAAAGAAAAAAGAAAGAAAGAAGATGAAATGAAGGGCATAACAACGAACGGAAAGAAAGAAAGAAAGAAAGAAGATGAAGTGAAGGACTTAAGAAGGAACGAACGAAAGAAAGAAAGAAAAAAGAAAGAAAGAAGATGAAATGAAGGGCATAACAACGAACGGAAAGAAAGAAAGAAAGAAAGAAAGAAAGAAAGAAAGAAAGAAAGAAGATGAAGTGAAGGACTTAAGAAGGAACGAACGAAAGAAAGAAAGAAAGAAAGAAAAAAGAAAGAAAGAAGATGAAATGAAGGGCATAACAACGAACGGAAAGAAAGAAAGAAAGAAAGAAAGAAAGAAAGAAAGAAAGAAAGAAAGAAAGAAGATGAAGTGAAGGACTTAAGAAGGAACGAACGAAAGAAAGAAAGAAAGAAAAAAAAAGAAAGAAGATGAAATGAAGGGCATAACAACGAACGGAAAGAAAGAAAGAAAGAAAGAAAGAAAGAAAGAAAGAAAGAAAGAAGATGAAGTGAAGGACTTAAGAAGGAACGAACGAACGAAAGAAAGAAAGAAAAAAGAAAGAAAGAAGATGAAATGAAGGGCATAACAACGAACGGAAAGAAAGAAAGAAAGAAAGAAAGAGGAAGAAAAAGGAAGAAATTTAAAGAACAAATACAAGTGAAAGGAATCATTTAAGAAAAAGAACAGTGCAAAAATGAAACAAACAAACAATAAAATAATAGAAATATAAAAATGATGGCGGAAAGAGGATTAAGAAATAAAATAAGAATAAAAGAAAAAAAAATAAAACAGGAATGAGCGAATAAATGCAAAGGAATAAATCAGAATGGATAAATGGGAAGGAAAGAAAGAATTGAAAAAATGGGAAGGAAAGAAAGAATTGAAAAAAATAAATGAAAATACACTGTAAAAGAAAGAAAGAAAGAAAGAAAGAAAGAAAGAAAGGTGGTCATCACAAAGAGAAGGGAAATGGGAATGAAAGAAAAAAAATGAATAACAAACGATGAAAAGAAGGACCGTAGAAATGAAGAAGGAGTAAAATCAAGCAAATGTTCATTCGTCGCTGCTTAAAATTTCTGATTTGACGAAGAACACAATTGAAAAGGACACGTGAAACACTGTGAGGATAGGCACAAAATTGAACGCATATCAACAAAGACGTGTGCATGTTCGTACGCATGGATTAGGACGTGCTTCCGTTGGCACATTAACTGTGACCTGCTACTAATGAAGGGATGTATTCGAAGGCATAACTCACAATACTGAATTTCATGTCAAGCACACCGTCCTTTTATCCGAAGCAACACAATCTTCTTATAGAAAAACCGTAATACCGGGCTTGTGTATAATTACTACTTACTGATATATATTCACAATGTACTAAGCTAAAACGAGAACTTGTTCAACACGTCTAGTAAATGAGCAAGCTTTAACAAATCATCTCAAATTGTTCAAGCGAATTACTCACAAATATTCGTTTCATGGAAGTATAAATTTAATTTTACGAGATTCATATGATCTTTTAGTCAAACTTTTTTATTTACTAAAGAAAATTACTTATTTCCTAATATAAAACACTCATACAAGAGCAGCATACATTTTATAATATGAATAAATGACTAAAGGACTTACTGATCGATTTATCAGTCAGTTATGTGCGTGATATACGCTTATGCGATCATATATCTTTCGATACATGACTGACAAAGCAGATTTTTTCCCCCACAGTAGGTTACCATTCCGTTCTGCGGTAGACCAGTTGCCATCCAAGGCCATAGAACCCGGTCTGTCCTGCTATTTACCCATAGCTGGGTGGAGAGAAGAAGGGATTCATATCTTTCCCAAGGGTATTAGCACGTAAGTGAATGTCATGTTTTCTACTCTACTGAAATTCGAACTCGGATCTCCGATTCCACAATCTGAGCTGCTATTCATTACTCCACCGTGCCAGTTACAGATTAGTTTTTATAAATCTACATCACTTTGATTACGTTTGAATCTCCGGCACGAGATTATCGAAAACTATACCCCCAACTGGACTAGCGTTCATAATCGCTTCACCGCTTAAAGATGGTTGTCAAAAATTGTTTGCGTAAAAACTGAAAACGTGTTTGAAGGACTTGCTTTTTTTTTTTTTTAACTCTATTTTTCTTCACAATTTTAATGGGGAGTGGCCCCGAAAAGGGAACTGTATAATAATAAATAATATTTTTGTAATAATTTGAAATATTTATTTTTATTAAAGTTTTTATGAAAGCAATATATCTAAGAACAGATAGTAAATAGTAAAACGTTGCTGAGAGTTATAATGGACAGGAAGTAGTGGAGAGCCATTGTCGCAAACAATTTGGACTAAAAACAGGCACTGTAGAATTATCTATCAAACAAAAAAAATAATCGAAATCAGGTGAAAACTGTAGAAATGTATAAACAACATCCGATCACACACATACATACACACAAATTTTGAGAATTATAGATATAGATTAGAAGTCAATTATAAGTTTTATTCTAAAAGCGGGAATCATTTTCCGAACAACGTCATGTTAAGGAGGCATTACTTAATACCAACAAGCGAATATCTCTTACAACGGAATAACTTGTAAGAAATAAATGAGCAGTCTAATCTTTCCAGAAAGCTGGAAAGATTAGACTCCTCATTTTTTGTTTTGTTTTTGTTTTTTAGGGGGGTAGTTTTTTCTTTTTTTCTTCTCTGTTACCTTTCTTTGGATAGTTTGAATAAATTAAAAAATAAAATTAATGTTGAATTACAAAACTTCTAAGTCAAAAGAGTGCTGTGTAAATGAAAAGAAATCGCTGCCATCATGGGAGACCTGAATGCCAAAATAGGAATAGAACTAGAAGAATTTGTCGGCAACTTTAGAGTAGGATCCCGAAATGAGCCCAGCCAAAAATGAGTCAGAACAAACGATTAAGAAATTTCCAACACCTGGTTTCAGGAGTATAATACAACCAGACAGGAATGGAACGATTGGATGACAGGAAAGGAACGACTGGATGACAGGAAATTCTCGAGACGATGAAAAAACGACAACCAAAAATGCCAAGAAAAGGATACCGAATACTAAACACAGAAACTAAAAACAAATGCAAGAAGACTAAAGAGGAATGATTCAATGAAGAATTTGCAGAAATAAATAGAATGAGCAACACAAATACAAAAAGTATGCACAACAGATTGAAAAAAATTCTGTATATGCTTTATTTTGATGTCCCCAATACATGCATCATATCTTTGGGGTGTCCTTTTTGCTAACAACCATGTATTCCGTCTTTACAGTACAATACATTCCCATATTAAACTTATCTCAGTGAAATTCAAAGATTTCAAGTCATAAGTGATCATCAAATCAGATCGTTTGGTTATCGTAAAGGTCATGAAAATGACACTGGCCATGATGCATTGATTTCTACATCCACACTATTTATACAGACGAACGCTCTATTCCCGATTTCAAGCATTCTTCTTACCCAAAATTCTAAGCAATATAATTATATTTTCCTATTATTAATGTTGAACGTTTGTTTTTATACGCCTCCAATCCATCTTCGTAAATATCTTGGAAGAGTTCGTCATTACCATAACTAGGACGACACAATCCTGGGTTCATCATTTCTAGCCCGGACGGAACAAATAAACTTTGTACAATATATATATATATATATATATATACAGTGGTGGAAATAAGTATAAGACACCCAATGAAATTGTTAATAATTTTCTTATTACTGCACAAATTCCTCTGAAAATTTGTGTGTGGTACCTAGATCCGATGGGTATTAGTATATATATTCGATTTTATAACAACTTTCCGCCAAGAAAAAAGTTATTAAGAAAAATACGTTTTCGAGAGTGGAAATAAGCATAAGACAGATTTGAAAATTTGTATTTAACAGCAAAATTTTACAAAATTTAATATTTACATTGATTCCCTTTTAATTGTAATACTTCAACACACATGTTTTGCATATAAGTTTTCTGGAAGTTTCAGATGGAATTTCATTCCAATACTGTTTAATTCAGGATTTTAAAGTTTCTCTATCTTCAAATTGACGTTTATCTTTGTATACTCTTCTTGACAAAATCCCCCACAAATTTTCTATTGGGTTTAAATCTGGAAACTTAGTGGGCCAGTCCAAAACTTCAATATTTTTTGTTTTAAACCTGTCTTTACTGAGCTTAGAAGTGTGTATGGCTTCGTTGACCTGTTAAAAAATGGTATCATTGATGTCTAGACGTTTCATAAATGGGACAAGACTTTTTTCCAACACATTGATATATCAAGCAGAGTTTCTTTCCCTTCCATCACTACTAAATCCTTTCTCCTTTGTCCATGTTACTTTTTTTCTTTAGCCAATCTACGTGCATCTTCTTGTGTTTAACAGTTAAAGCAGGGACTGTCTTAGAACATAGAAGAAAAATTCCATAATTTTTTCACGCTCTAATGAACACTCAGCACATTGTCAACCGTTTTATATTTAAAAGCATAATGAAAAATTACAGTAATGGATAACAACGCACATCTTTATATAAATACTTATACTAATAAACAACATATAGTTTTGTATTACTTGCACCCCTGAAGATGATCTTGGATAAATATCGAAAGTACTTTGGAAATGAAAATAAAATAAAACAGCTATAGCACATTTCTCTCATACTTTAACATCTATACACGGAAAGTTATTCGTGAGTATGAACGGATTTTATTAAAAATTAGCAGACATAATGTCTGTAATTTATTCAATCAGACGTATATATATATATATATATATATATATATATATATATATATATATATATATATATATATATATATATTGATGCATGTTTTATTAAATAATATAGACAAGTTTTGTCTATTTATTTTATGTAAATTCTTTTCATATCGTCTGATAAGCTTAATAACATTATCATTAAAAGAAGAAAGATAATCATAATATTGATACATATTTTTTAATTCTATCTAAGCTTTCGTCTTACATAAACCATTATCAAAGATGACAATTACATTACAATATATTAAACAATACACGGGCAAAACAATAATGATAGTCTGTTTTTGTTTACATGGAAGATTTCCAAGCAACGACAAATTCGTGCATATGAGACGCTGGAAAAGAAAATCGCACCGCAACTCATGACGTCGCACATTATCACGCGAGAGTGAAAACGAGAAGTATTAAGTATGGGAAGTCATTGGTATAAACCAATAGCTTCTGTTATCAATTATTAAGTATGGGAAGAATTTACATAAAATAAACAGTCAAAACTTTTCTATATAATTTAATGAAACATGCATTAATGAAAAATTCTGTTTAAATACTCACACAATATATATATATATATATATATATATATATATATATATATATGTATGTATGTGTGTGTGTATATATATATATATATATATATATATATATATATATAACCTAAATACCTAATACATATGTATACCTTAAAACTATGCTTTTATGAGAGAAAGAAAGAAAAAAAGAAAGAATTCTTCTTGTTTATTAGGCTAAGCAGCTCTATCTAATTTTACTATATTTAGAATTAGTAGCTCTTTAGCAATTACTCTGTTAGTAGATAAATACTTAAAAATCTGCTATCTCCCTTAACTGTTTAACGGTACTTCTTCACAGTCAT